GTTAATTTCAAACTTTTTAGACGGGTCCATGGACTAGAACACAATAACCTTTTTTTAGAAAACTGCCATAAAGAAGTTTTTATTGCTCTAATGACCCTCGTAGTCGGGTTATACCGTACCCTCCTGTAAATCCCGACTACGATATCAGGAGGGATGTATATTCAGCCGGTATATTCAGCCGGTATAACCCTCTGACTCGGGTTATGTCCTCTACTTATGCTCACCTTCGATGTGGTTGTTATGTGTACTATTACTAGTAGTATGACAGCTTGCTTCACCAGCGCCTGGGAGAGGCTAGATCCGTATGGATAGCACAGACGGCTCTCGCCATCTTCCCTACGCCAGTAGCACCAGTCTTGTTCAAAATCTCACGCCAATATCTCCAAATCCTCGCTGGGAAAATGGCCTGAGGAATGCCGAGGCCCTACGCAAGACGGAAGGATGTTGAAAGATACAGAGCGAAAAATCAGGCGCTATCTGCAGGGTTGCGATGCGTGTTGGCAAGGGTGCGATTCCGTCAACTGTACGTAGCAATCAGACATCGTACACGTACACATACATAGATAGGATAGTGTCGCGGGTGATATGTTGAATATAATCTTTGAAGCATTGCTGGCGAAGTGTTCAGCAGTAGGTAATGAACGGACAGTGTAGCATACGTCCCACGGGATTTAGAACTGAGTTAGTGAAACGTCGTGTTGGAATTCTCAATGTTGCAGGGGGGGGGGGGAAGAGCAAGGGAGTAGCGTGTCAGAGTGGTGGAATCTTCCTCTGGCCTTGAAGGACCAGTGTTTAACTATTAACAAGGTATGACCTGTATAACGGTTTACCTGACTCTACAACAGGATCACTTGTCATGATTCATCTAACTTTACTTTATCTTCTGTTTAGATAAGAAGACAGGAAAGATAATGTACGATAGCAACAACATCTCTAAGCACAAGCAATTACTGCAAGCTCTCGCTTCACGAGGGTGAGTGGCTTAAACCCCAGAGATTCTGAACGAAATACTGATAAGTGCAAACTTTATTGCAAACACGTCCTTCGGAGAATGTACAATCAGATAGTTCTAACCTCAATGTTTTCAAAACCCAAAGCAAAGTTATTTCCTGTGAAAGTCTACATACCTACATGTATATAGAACGTAAGAGAACAACAAAAATCAAAATAACGAACATAATCGACTACAAAGGGCGTGTAGGTGCTATAAACGCCATTCAGGTGAGGAAAAGTACACTTCCTCGACCATTGAACTCGTGAGCAAAGCGTCCAACGCGCACCCTGGGGAGTGCTAGCTAGTCTAGAGAGGAAGAAAGAGGGAGGGGAAGAGGTTGAGAGCTAGTTTAGCAAGTGCGTTGGAGTGGAGTTAGTCAGTAGGTGAGGGAGTGAAAGTAAAGCCAGATTTGTTCAGAAAGCTAGGCCGAACGAATCCAAAGCAGCGCTTCCAGCAGCGGAATAAGCAGAATGTATACATCATTCAATACCTTGACTACTTCCAGGCGTGAAGGGGACTGCACCTACTGCATGGCTGCGTTCGAATGTTACGCAAAACGCTGTGAAACAGGACTCCCAAGCGTTCCACGTCTTCTGAAGTCGCGATGCCGGCATACACCTGCAAAGCAAGATTCTGTAAGGACGGCGGTTCCGTACGTACTCTGACGATCGTCGTTGCTCGATTTTGATTCTGGATCGACATGTAACCTCCTACAATATACACGTCACCCATGAGATCCTGGCATGAGAAATGTTCCCACCGTACCTCCAAAGGTGGCTGGATGTGTGAGGTGTTCACGCCATACCAGCATAGTAAGTCAGTGTGACAGATGAAAATGTCATTGCGGTGAATCAGGTTCGTTCCATTGTACCACGAACCACCACAGAGAACAAGTAAGGACGTCGAGCTCGGGGCCAAAGAAGCATAGCATCGCTCTAAAGGCAGCTCTCCAGTCACCGGTAGAGCACCACTCCACTCCGCTGACCGCAAATTTAATCGATGAAGATCATTTCTTAATTTCATGCAATTGCAATCTCCGCCAAAGACGTATGCGAAGTTGTCGCGATTGGTGAACGCAGAACCAAATCTTGGGTCTGGAGAGTTTCCAGTACACATGATCTCTGACCATGTACAGTTTCCAGTACTAGCATAATCTCTTGTGTTCAGCACATGTACTGCGTTGTTTACATATCCGCCGGTCATTGTTTCCAGGTATGATGCTGGGGTTTTTACGCCCTTAGTTTGCGAGGGACGCTCCCCAAGTCCACCAAACACATAGCATTCCATCAATTTCTCATCGGAACATATACCAAAGTAAGACTTCCGTGTCGGCGAACTGCCGAGAATGTTAACCAGGGAAATGGTCCGCGTACTTGGATTCAGATGGGCGACGGTATTTTGGTGGGTTTCGTTTCCATAATATATTCCGGGGAATCCGAAGCAGAAAATATCAGAACCGACGGCAGCAGCTGCACAAACATATACGTGAGGCGGGTTAGGATTGGTTAATAACCATGCTGGCTGGTATTCGATTTGCACTGATTTGAAGTCATTTCCCGGGTCTGGATCATGTGGACAACGAGGCTCTAACGGTGGTAATTGTATGCACTGAAGTCCCCCCACTGGAGCTATCCAAGGGCCAGCGCCAAATGTGTAGATCGTCGAGTCGACTATGCAACTAGTCCTCATGTCCCACCGACATTCTGTTTCCAATTGGGCAGGGTTCCTCCACACACGAACAGACATGGCTGGCTGAATAGAAGAAGCAGCAGTGAGACTGAGTAGTGAACAGCTTATATGTTTCACTTCACACTGACTAGATCTTCACTGATACCTTGTAGCTACGCTGCACTAAAGTACATTACAACACAATTGAACTATTATACGAAATCAAAGTAGGAGATAATGAGGGTGACAGCATACACCAATGTAGGCGCTAACAATTAACTTGGAGCGACATAGCGACAGAGTCTGTAGTACAAGGTATGAAAGGCGAGAGTATATCGTTCATCGTGTCTACTTGTAGAATGAACAGCCCAGGGCCATTCGTCCTACCCCGACAGTTAATATTTGTTTGTCTGGCCTTTAGTTATCTATAACATACGGTCTTTGTGACAATGCATGCGCAGCAATCTCGTGTAAAGGGATGTCGCCATCAAGCAGTCAACTTTGAAGTGTGAACGTGGCTTTCAGCACAGGCAAGTGTGGAAACCTGAGGAGGCACCCTGATCTTGTATAATTATGCTCACCTTCGAGGTGGTTGTTATGTGTACTATTACTAGTAGAATGACAGCTTGCTTCACCAGCGCTTGGGAGAGGCTAGATCCGTATGGATAGCATACTTGCCTCTCACCATGGTCCCTACGCCAGTAGCACCAGCCATGATTCAAATCTCACGCAAACGTCACCAAATCCTAATTGGGAAAATGGCCTGAGGAAAGCCAGAGCCATGCACAAGGCGCAAGGATTGACCTGTGTTTCCACCAAGTCTTGTGATGTTGTAATAAATATAAATATAATAAGGATGCTGAAAGCTACAGAGCGATATTTCAGACACTATCTGCAAGGTTGCGCTGCGTGTTGGCAAGGGTGCTATTCTGTCAACTGTACGTAGCAATCAGACATCGTCCCAAACTTTCCAGCGATTCAACTGAATCAGTGAAACGTCCTGGAATTCTCGACGGCACAGGTGGGGGGGGGGGAGCAAGGGCGTAACGTTTGGGAATGATCGAATCTTCCTCTTGCCTTGAAGGTCCAGTGATTAACTACCAACAAGGTCTAACCTGTATAACAGTTTACCTAACTAAATCCGTGCGTGTTGTATTCGGCAAACCTGACCCCGCCCTGACCCCTGCCCCAGCACTGCGTGTGGATGCTGCAGACCTATGTCCCTCGACTACCCACCGCCATCTAGGAATCACCCTGGATCCCCGCCTGTCTTTCCAGACCCACATCAATAGTGTCACCTCCAACTTTCGTCGTCGCGTTGTTATGCTATCCTACATGTCACCCAATCTGACCCCTGCTCTCATTGCCCGCCTCTACAAAGGATACGGCCGTCCCTCCATTGAGTATGCTCCACCTCTGTGGAATAACAAACTGACCACAGGAAATATTGACACTTTGGAACGATTGCAAGCACGCGTGGCCAGGCAGTATTTACACCGTCGCAAAGTGCCCATTCCTCATGGCATGGAGAACGTGTTTGAAGCTGCTGAATGGGAACGTCTTGCGGGGCGGCGGCATATACATTGCCTCAAATTGTTTTACCATTTCACCCGCCAATACCCGGAAACCTTCAATAATCTCAACATAGTTCTATCCAAGAGTGCACGACGTCCCCACTTTTACCTCCTGCCCACTCACACTGGTCCCTGTTTCCGATCCACTTTACTACATTCCATGATCACCACGTGGAACTCCCTGCCTACCGAGATTAGGATATCTGAAACCCGTGGTGTATTTAGCCGGCACGTAAAGTCCCATTTCCACAGGTATAGATTCCATCCTCGAGGTTTTCTCACTTCCTGATTACCCCCTTCTTTACCAGTACCCTTTTCGCTTGCTTCTACTCAGACTTCTTATTTAACCTATTCACATTAATCTTTTTTCCTCTTTATATTTTCTTCCTTTTAAGAATTGCACCCTATTGTACACGGATTGTACACGCATATTTATTCTCGGAGACCCCCTTGATTTAGGCTGCGGCCTTTGGAGAATCCCTCAAATAATAATAATAATAATAATAAGTATATGTTATCGCATGGTTGCAAGGGCCTTATGGCATATTATTGCCCCGAGGGCTAACCTCGAGGGGCAATAATATGCCATAAGGCCCGCAGCAACCATGCGATAACAAATTTATCACATGGCCCACAGAGCAGACCATTGGGCTGCTGTTGAAATTAGCCCAAATGCCAACACATTATGACCACAATGTATATTGATGTGCTATCATTATCAAAACAGGAAAAATGAAGATATTTCTCCTACACCCTAACAAAAAGTCTGCTACAGGCCATCAGAGAGTATACAGTACTGAAAGACGGAGACAGAAAAAAAGTGCCGGCACCGCATCGTCATAGCAATAGACATGGCAACGACAATAAAATACAGCAGAATCATAATTTCAGTTGAAAAATTAAGAGTGCTACCACAAAGAGTTTCTTCATGCTTACATGTGTATCAGGAAGTTGTCAAATACAGTACTGCAACAAGTGCAAGTATTTGACGACTCCCTGGTGTGTAATTCTGAGGACAATTTTTCTTCTTTTTTTTCAGCTCCAGATAGCTGTATTTTTCATTGCAAAACATTCCTGAATTGTTGTGTTTGTTGTTCAAGCAAAGGTGAAGGCAGAGGACAGATGAGCCTGGTAAGAGTTTTGCGTGGCACATGAAGACCACACACAGGCAGTGACTTTGCGAGGATTTGAAAACGCACGACGCTGAGTTGAATTTGTGTTATTTCAAATAATTGTTTGTGATCACAGTACCACTTCGAGCAGAACTGAATCTTATCCACACGCTTACCGACGGTCAGGCTGCCAACATGACTGAACAAATGATCCCTGCAAGCACCACACGGCAGACGTCCGAGGCCATGTCCATTGCCGGGATGTCCATCTCCAAAAAGAATTCCATCTTCGTCTCAATGCTACACTGCGACTCGTCGTAGAGTCGTACAGTCTACAGAGTCGTCGTAGTCACGCGATCACTGAAATAAACTATTTTTTTGCGGGCAAATAAACTATTTTTTTGCGGGCAATATCGCATATTATTGCCCGCGGCGCGAAAGGTGCTGATTCGCTGGAGTACGGGCAACAATCACGTGCCATGTGATAATTATTATTATCAAGGGCAAAGATGAAGCGTTCCTTGTGGACGTAAGTGTCCCTCTGGATAGGAACATCCGCCGAAAATCTGTGGAAAAGATACAGAAATATCAAGGCCTGAAGCGTGAGGTGGAGCAGATGTGGCAGGTGCGGGCCAAGATCGTGCCAGTAATTGTGGGGGCATTAGGTGGATTAACCCCCTCGACTGCTGACTTTGTGAGGGAACTGGATGCCGGAGCCAGTGTATCGATCTTGCAAAAGGAGGCGCTCCTTGGCACAGTTGACATCATCAGGTCAATAACTCAGATGAAATAATAATTAGAAACTCGGATGTTGAGCCATAAATAAATGTAGAAGAGAAAAGGACATATCGATACGAGTTAAGAGTAACTCTCCATCACTGTAACATGATACTATATACAGTCAGAAACTTGTACAATTCGTTTTCGCAAAGCTTCCCTTTATTTATTTATCTTTGATATTTATGACCCACCCAAGTTGGGTGGTGTGCTGCTTTGCTGCTTCGAATTGTAGTTAGACCGCTTTGTCAAATATCGTACTGGTCTCGTCATCGTCCAGTAACAATCGACATTCTTTGTTCCGTTGGGACTCTAGCTTTTGCTCATTTTCGTTGCGCTTGCCTTCCCCTCTTTGGTCTTTCCGTAACCTTGAACCTTCCAAGTTGGAAGGCTGTCGGTTAGCGCTACGGAGATGTGTTGAGGCTAGGTGTCAGGTCGTTGAATGTTTCAGTACTCTGTCAGTTTTGTGCCTAGTATTGCACTTTCTGACTGTATATAGTATCATGTTACAGTGATGGAGAGTTACTCTTAACTCGTATCGATATGTCCTTTTCTCTTCTAAATAATAATTACACTCTAATAAGTTACATTGGTTTGCGAATGCCCATGGTTATGGTTGCTGCTATTAGTTGAAGCACCTATTTGCAGAAAATAATAATATTATGATCGTAATATTAATCACTTGCCAATAACAAAGACAACAATAATACCATCAGCCCCCATTCACCGGTTTTGACAGTGCTTCACTGATGTTGAATGAGAAGAATTATATTGCTGCCTTCAGTGCTATTGTGTCGCTGAAGGGCTCGATTTCAGATTTGATGACGGTTACTTTTCAACGGATTTTGTTTTCTGATTTAGCTCTCTTGCTATTACTGTACCTGCTTGTGTTAAGTCTCATTCTCGCAGATTAGTTGTATAATAGATTGTACATGCATCATTGTAGATTTGCTGTTCACAGTATTTCTCTCTTTTTTCTTTCTTTTTTCTCAGTCTTCCTTATTACATTTTCTTCACATACAACAGCAGTAATCCCCATGGTCTTAAATGACCCGGGATGCTGCATAATACA